GAAGGAGTTATTAATTTTATTATTTTATCTTTTATTCATATGAAAATACGTATATATCAAAGTAAGTAAGAAAAAATATATAAAAATTATACTCGAACTCATCAAAGCTTATAACTCTTGTTTATGGTATTGCTTATATAAAAAAATATATTATGTATATAAATTAAAAATAACTTTTTGAAGATAGATATTAAAAATTTAAATATTCTTAGTAAAATTATCAGCTTCGACAGTTTATTAATTTAATTAATTAATATACATGAACGATTCAAAAATAGTGGACCTAATTGAATCCATTGTCCTCTTCGTTAATCTTAATATTTAATTTAATAAATATTTGTGGTCCTAACTACTATGTATATTGAGAGGATTGGTAGGCAGTCACGTAGTTTTATTTATTTGTTTATTGGAGATTTGGTTTTTCTCTCTCCAATAACATTCAGATTGTATAAATGTTATAAAACATATTTTATGCAGGTATTTCGACCTTTTTAAAAAAAATAAAAACATCTTGTGCTTTTCTTTTTTCTTTTAAATAAATAACATTTACGACTAGAAAGACAAATAAGTTAAATAATTAAAAACACAATAATATTCTAACATCATTTTTCAATAAGTCATAACATATAGTCTATATATTGACAAAATAAAGGTTTTGTTTGTTACAAAAAAGTATTGTGACTCTCAAGAAGTGTGAAATAGCAGAGAATTAATTTGAACATCTATGTTGATATTAATTTTAGTATATACAGGGTTGTTATAAACCATTTTTCTGCTATTTTTAATTATTTTGTATGTTATATAGATTATATTATATAGGCATATAAACATCATTTTGAATTATAGTGTTTCTTTCGTTATTGTCATAGGTTAATTAATTAATCTCTCTGTATCAAATTATTTATCGTGGTGATACAGAAGGGGCTTATGACAAATTTTTAAAATGTATAAGGATAAAACTTGTGCTAACTTTAAGTGTTTGTCGATGAATTTCATTTTTTTTAAAAATATTTATCTTCAAATTATTTGTAACATGGCTACTTGTCTCATTTTAGATAATTCAATGATTGAGGGGGGAACGTCTCAAATCATTCTTCCAATATGATTTAACTTGCGCTAATATTATAAAGATTTTGAATTTATCAATATTATAGGTAGGATACATTGATTTGTCTAGTAAATTTCATTTAGAAATATGAATTACGTTACGTCTCGATTGATCAACATTTGAATATAGTATAAAGTATTTTTTTATTATTTCCTTCGTCCCATTTTGTGTGAGGTAGTTTGACTCGACACGAAGTTTAAGAAAGAAATGAAGACTTTTAAAATTTGTGGTCCAAAATGAATGATAGAAATTTGTATGCGTATAAATCATTTCATCAAGGGTAAAATTGACATTTTATAGTTAAATTGTTACTTAATATAGAAACGTGTCATTATTTTTTAGACTAACTAAAAAGGAAAGTAAGTCACAATAAATTGGAACAAAGAGAGTATATAATTTTAACTCAAATTTTGGAAAGCTTTTGTATGTATTCTCATATATCCATTATGTAGATAAGTTAGTTAATCACTTAAAATATATCACCTCCTTAAATTAGAGCAACTTTCACATATAGCAAACATAAAAATCATATTTGTATGTTATAGTTATAGTTTGCATAATTGCGTTCCATAACAAATTTTATGTTTGCTATGGAGTTTTTGATTTGTATAATTCGCTAGAAACATTCAATTTTATACAATTTGTTTAGTTTTGTATAAATTCATTTATACATTGTAATTTGTATAATAAGATCTGTATTTATATAATTATAAGTGTATAAGACGAAAATATATGTATTTGTATTTTTATATACACTTTTCTCTCGCTTTATACAAACACAAATGCATTTTATACATTTTATATCGAAATGATAAAATGGCTAATTGTTTACCGAATCAGATGACAAAAAAATGGGATGTTTGCTGCGAATTACAATTAAAATAAATTATGATTATAGCATTTAATTTGAATTAATAGTTTGCTATTTCATACAATTTTCCCTAAATTATACGCATTAATTAACCTCACAAGACCAATCAAAGGGGGGGCGGGGGGGGGAGCAATGGAAGCGAAGGCCCCATTTCTTTGTTCTTCATTTAAATTGTGGGGCTCCTATTAATTTGAATTCACGTCAGTTAATAACCATTAAAGAGGAAAACACTCTCTAAAAAGATTTTTCTTCTTGTTTTGGAGCTAGAGGAAAAGATGAGATTCGATTTATATCTATAATAGAATATAATACAGTATGTTATCCAAAACATATAGTATATTATGATATGATACGTAACAAACCATCCAATCAACAAAAAATCTAGAAACATTGAATCAAGTCTAGCCTTTTTTCTTGACTTCATTATAGCCTATATATTCATCTCCCTCACGTAACCTAATTAGCGCATGTTCTATTATCTTATTTCATCTTTTGTGTGTGTGTGTTTATTTCCATGTTTTACCCAATTTTTATCCAATTATTTAAGATAAATCCAATTTTTAAAATTATTTAATTGATAATTAGTATTAGCAAACATCAGACAAAAACATTGTTGTTAGCGTATTATTGATAAAATCATGAAGCTAAACTATGGAATCCATGGATGAACTCTAAGTAAACATGGAAGAGAGATTGTGGAATTTACTGTTGTATTGAAGATTGAAAAAATTGTGTTACAGATATGTTCACCACTGTTTATATACACTTTACATAATTGAGTACAAAAGGAATCTAATGCTAACTAACTGCCAGCTCATCTAACCGACTTAATCAAGTTGTTAACTAACTATTAACATACTAACTAACTATTTGATACATGCTCAAGTTATGCCAGTCTCAACAATTATGACTTTTCCTTGCAACATAAAAGGAATGGGAATTCACTATGATTATGCTCGATCGATGTCTAAAGTTTGGATAGTCGAGATAACATTTCAAGTAAAACTGTATAAAGTTTTGAGATTGCTAGGCCAAACATAGACAAAAATACTTAGGTTTTTTTTTTACACAAGTTGTATGTCAAATTTCAGAAAAAAATTGTAACTTCAAACTGATTTTTGCGACTTCATTAATTCGAATATGTTTATATAGTGGCTAAATTTATAAATTAGAAAAAAGTTTATATTGTGCCTATGACTTAAATAAGTGCACATTGCGTCTTTTTCTTATTCACTGCCCATTTAAGATTTTAGATTGGAGACCCAGTTATCCAACTATTGGCCCAGCCCATATCAGAGATTAGTTTGCTTCTTGGGCTTACTGGATCTAATCAATTATCGTATCGCTGTGTATAGTAGATACAATGCTATGTTTGTTGTGTCGCCTAATTTTTTCATTAATTAATCCAATAAATAGATGAGACATATCTTTATATTCTCCCTTTATCAGTTATCATTAAATCATAGTTAAGTAATTTTTATTTTTATTTTACTTCAAATTGTGTTATGGTCTAATATATATATATATATGTCAAAGAACACATTCTCTTGTAGAGGGCATGCATAAGAGTTCACATTGAAGAGAAGGTTTGACACCTCGATGTATGCTCTTCACCACCTGGGGCTTTAGTACTATATATGTTTCATGAGTTGGCTTCGCCCATTAAAGCGGTAAAAAACTGTGTTACAACGTCATGAGACAGTTCGGTCTATATCTGATGTAGACGTTAGAGTATTGGGAGGACCTCGAAAGGACCGGAAAGGATGCACCCTTTAATTTGGTGTATCTGTTAAATTTAATCATGATAAATTAGTATGATTTGGTGTAAATATTGGCGCGAATAAAAATGAGGTTCATACTTAATTATACCTAAGATATCAAAATACGATAAAAACTTACCCACATGAAATATTTATATAAAAATAATAATACTTGACATATGTATTATCACTTTAACAATTATGATTTAACTACCAAAATTAATTTACTTGGATTAGAGTAAAATATTGGTGCGAGTACAAATTTATTCTTCTTCTCTCTCACACTATCTTGAAAAACAACAAATCATATGCCTCAATATGGTATATTCCATTTTATACACTATGGAATATATATATTTTTTAGTCCATTAAAGTTAGTTATTTTTAAATTCTAGATTTGTAGTTGATCGATTTTTCTTATTTATTCTAACTTTACGAAATGAGTGGTGCGTCTTACTTGGTACCCTAGCACGGTAGAAATGTCTTCACTATGATAAATAAATACTCCTTTTATTTAAAAAAAATATATGTTCTTATTAGTCCACTCTGAAAAGAATAATATATTTTTGAACTTGGTGACAATTTTAATTGAATTTTTCAGTTTAACCTTAATAACAAGTTTTGATTAGCATATAAATATCATGACATATTTAAATAATAATTTTTAAAGTCTTGTCACCACACAAATATCACTTCTATTATTTGATAGTCAAATAATAAATTAGGTAATTTTGACCTCATGCTTTGAATCCCACAATTCTCTCAAACTTTAATATTTGATGAAGTTATAAAAAAATTAAAAACTTAGATACATATTGATCTAAATCACATATTTCTTTTTGATAATCGATTCAAGATGGAAATATGATTATACAATGTGATTGTTTTGCACCTAGTGAAGTATTCGTTGAATTCAAGATTTAAAACTTATAGATCTTGAACTTAACTTTTTTACTTTTTAGAATTCGGGGAAATTTGTAGTTGCTATATATCGTTCTTTGAGTGCGCAATTTAAACCTTTTTTAGATCAAGTGCTAATTTTTCTATGTTTAATGCATTTCTAAGAGAAATACAATCTTCAAGTCAAAGCTATTGACTCAACTGAATTCATATTGTCAACTCTACATACATACATTCATATATTTTATGAACGTAAATCAAGAAAATTGACATCCGTAAGACAAAAATTCAAAGAAAAAGAGAAAATTAAAGTAAGCATGGTATTATTTGCGTACATGTTATACATTTTAGCAACAAAGCAAAGTACTTTAATACATATTAGCATAAAATAAACGTGGATTAATTTTTGTTTGCATTTTATAGTACTGGTAATTAGATGATATTATACATCGATGCAATTTTCTTCTTGCTATAACCTCAGATTCTGCATAAGCCTGTTCAAGAGAAATTATTAAAAATATATAAAATTAATTTCGATACACTGATTTAAACGAAAACTTAAAATATTAGGCAAACAACGTGTTAACATGTTACATAACACTAATATTACAAAATGTTTTTAACCTGAAGGGTATTTTTTTTTTAAAAAAAAAGGACGACTAAGTGTATAAAATATTTGACATTTACACAAAAAAGATGTGACATAAACAACTTATATTAATACAAGCGTTATTGATTGTTTCCATATTAGGTACCAAAGTTACCTAAATATGTGTACATCATGTGATGATATACTTATTAAGACAAATATATAATTGTTAAACAATTTTGTTTTGTATAATAATAATAATGTGGTCAGAGATTAATTAAGATGTAGGACAATATGCATGTGCTCTAAAACAAAGTGGGATTAGATTTCATGTGGGTTACTTGGAGCTTAATTAAACAAGTAGGATTAAATTTCATGTGGGATTGCTTAATTAGGAGTTAAAATATTATAAGCAACATTTATAGCTTCCTAAAATAGTAAAATATCAAACAATCCAGAAGTTTCTAAGTACTTTATTAAACTTAAATATGTCTTTAATTAGCATAAATATAAATATTCAAGTAATATACATTTATAGTATATTCCCTCCATCCTTATTTACTTGTCAAATATTTCCTAATTTAATTTTCCCTTTTACTTGTCATTTAAGACAAATCAAAGAAGGACCCTTTTTTTTCGTATTATACACTCAATTTATTAACATTGAGTTAGTGTCTTTGAAAAATATAGTGAATCAATACATTTAAGACTCTATCAATTAATAGGCGGTAAAATAATAAACTCAGTATACCAATCATGTCAAGTCAAAAGGGACGGAGAGAGTAAATACAATATGAAAATATTGTAACACTAATGGATCTCTTGAGATAATTACTAGTTATTTTTTTCAGCTTGATCGAACTCTCTAAAACTGTTGTCATTCGTGTCGTTTCTTAAAAAATGAACTACTTATGGAAGACTCGATATGCACCTCGATATTCTTTTAAGAATCTAAACAATATAGATATATATTACAAGTAATTTCCCGTAACATGTGGAATTAGTAACATGAAAAATAAGACAAGTAACATATACGACATGTTAAAAATGTACGATGTGCATTTCACTGTCAGTGAATATAAGTTAAATACAATAAGATTAACAATACCTTTGTTCATTGGCATAACTTCTTCCATTGCTACTAGCACCCCTATAATTGGGCAAAGGAACTTGATCATTTTCTATTTTCATGACATCTTTGACAAGCAATTCATAGTGCCTCTTCACTTCCTCTGCTGATTTTCCACCAACACACCTAGCAATATTATGCCACCTATCAGGAGTGTCTTTGTCAAATAAAGCCAATGCCTCTTCAAATTTCTTGTTTTGGTTTTTTGTCCAATTGGCCATTGTGTGTTGAGAAGTAATTGGAAGTAGGAGAAGAAGATCTAGAAGAAACTAGAGTACTTAGGTCTAATTAAGTCAAGGGGATTGTATGGACAAGATGGGTAAGCTTTGTTATTTATAGGGATGGAGGAGAAAGGTGGCATCCAAGGTGTGGCCTGATCGTTAATGAAGTGGATAAAAATTAAAATAAATTACTTTTTAAATTTCAAAAGAAATAGCAATAACAATATATTGTGTGTAATTTTATAATATCAAATGAGCTCTAAAAAGGTGAAGTGTTTATGTGGATTTTATCCCTAATTTTGGAGATAGAAATATTGTTTCTCTCGGAAATTCCAAAAGAGACAAATAAATAAATATGTTATGTCTTTTTATTTGTCTAGATTTTGATGGATAAAATTAACTGGCATCTATGTTGGTGGTGGTAGATGCAAATTCAAATTTTACGTTTATAAATTTTAAAAAAGACAGTTTTCTAAGTTCTGAATAAATTCTCTATATATACTCAATGAATTTCTCAACACAATACAATTGACTAATTTTATTTTATTTTTATAAAACAAAATTTATTCAACACATGACAAAACTTCATCTCCGCCTCTAGTGAAGGTAACAGTTACCTGATGAAATTATCAAAGTGCAAACAAGTTGGCATAAACGCTTTACTATTATACTAATTTGTTTGATTATAAATATCTGATGCAATTACTGAGATACATACAAGGTGTTTAGCTCAAAATTCAGAGGCGAAACAAGAATTTGAATTTAATGGATTCGAAATTCTTCTTAAAGTAATTAAATTCTGAAATAATAAATACATGATTTAGATCAAATCTACTAAATTCATTCAGATTCGTAAGCCAAATTCTAACTCCGCCTCTTCGCCCCTAGTTTAGACACCACTCTCATAATTTTTATTTTTATTTTTATTTTAAAAAAATGAGGGAAGTGTTGGGAGTAGCTAGTTGGGGAATCTCTTTTTCCTTTTCTAGGAGGGGATCTAGTTATACATAAATGTGATTCTTGTCAGCAATATGAAATGAAACTAATGGAAAGATGCATGTGGAGGGAAAAATAGGATAAAGTATTTTGAAGTATCATCATAAGCAAGTGGATCACCTAGCTGGTCCATAGGATTTAGATCCCTAATTTTATTTCTATAAGCACGTTAAAGTGTGTGATCATTCAAATTCTAGTGTTGATGTTAGCCCCTTTCTATTCAATCAAGATTTATCAAGCATGAAATCATCAAAAACATAAATTTAAATCTAAAGAATGATTTTTCGAATTAATTGAGTCACCATTGATATATCAACATATCTAGATCGTCAAATGCTTAGGAGTTCCTTTATTTGATCATTTTTCTTAGTTTTTTTGGATATCTTGTTTGTGTATATCTTCACTTTATTTTCGATAGTATATTAAGGGCTTATGCAATTTACTTGTTGTCTACTAAACGAACATTACAAAGAGGAATTCATCACCAACATTTTATTGGATAAAACAAATTGACTTTCTAATCTCTATTTGTTTTTTGAAAGTTTTCTTGGCCATAGTTTTAGAAGATAAATTATTTAAAAAAAATCGTAGTGCCCTAACATTATTGGATGGATGTTAAGTAAAACTTTTATCCATAATCAACAATATCATTCTGCACCAACTAGCTAGATTGGGTAGACTAAATATTATATACTCTCCGTTCAACAGTAGTTGTCCACTATACTATTTTGGGATGTCTAACAATACTTATCCACTTTATGAAATCAATGAATAATTTTACACTTAGTTCCTAATTGATCCTTATCATTAATTATAATCATTTTTCTATTACATTTTTCTAGACATTGTATTTATTATATTCAAAAAATGATATAATAAAATTACCCTTTTATTTATAGTTTCTTAAAAATTATTATGTAAAGTCAATAATAAACAAGTACCGTTGGACACGAATATATGTACCATTAACTAGGCACATTATTCCATGTTGTTTGGAATCTATGTCAAGTAGATCCTTTTGAATAGAACTTTATGCTCTGACTGTACATGGTGTACAATAGAATATGATTCTTCTTTTTTACTTTTAATTTAGTTTTCGTTTGTTTAGTACTAGTCTATCGAGAGGTCTGATTAAATTTAAATTTATGAAAAGAAGTTTTACATTAAAAGTTAAAGTACTTTCCAACAAAAATAACTCTATATTAACTAAAACTTGACAAGAATGATCGAGACATCTGATAAAATATGAATATGATTCTTAATTGAGACAATATCTAATGTTTCACCAGGATACAAGTTAAATGACTTTCAAGCTAATTGAATTGACCACACTACTTTTTGTCTAACATTTATATTTCCTGATTTGAAAATTAAAGGTTTGCACAAATAAAGAAAATCAATGTTGTCCAAAGATCGACTGTATGATTGGTTTTTTAGATGGTCAGTCAATTTTTATATTATTGAAAATAAAGGCGCTATCATATTGCGCTACATTCCTTTTCATTGGTCTACAACAGTGGCATTGTAGTGAATCTTTGCACATCACTCTCCCTATAAATTGAACCTCTTTTTCAATCATCCTCTACATCATTATTTTTTTTCATAAATATCTAATTTATCTTGTCATTTCTACATTTTTTTTTTATTAATTTATATAGCACTAAAATTATTAAACTATTTTTTATAATTAAAAATCACCCAATTTTACTTAAGTATCACAAGAGTTATCAAACTTCTTTTAATTATTATTTTTTGTTGTAAAATGCCACTCAATTTTGCCAAAATATATATCATAAGAAGTCATTAGGAGAAAATAAATAAGAAGTCATTAGGAGAAAATAAAACAAAGAATATTTGATATGATATTTGAGCATAGTTAAGTAACTTCTTGGTTACAAAAAGAAATAGATTGTGACTTATTAGAAGTAAAATATATTCTTAGGTGACGCTACAAATTATAGTTTAGTGACTTTATATGATATTTTAATCAAGTTGGGTAATTTTATATTTTTTTACTAAATATTGTTGAGTGACTTCTTTTTTTAATAGTGATTTTTGTTTAAATCATGCATTTGTACTAAAATTTTTTATCAAACTATGTATAAGTATTTAATTACGAACTTAACAACTAAAATAAGTTGAAGTTCAATGACAAATTTAATATTCATAATAACTTTAAATTCTAACTCCTCCTCCGATTCTGAAACCTTTGAAGATTATTAGAAAGAGGGAGAATATATTATATATAGACAAGTTGTTTGTAGTGGAGGGCCCTCATTCTCGAAATTTCATAGGTAAATATTCTGCAAAAGTTGCTATAGCAATCTATATATGTTTGATATATAACATCAGTCTTGTAGTATTTTAAGAATCTTGTTATTTGAAAATGATATGGAATAAAGCACCCCAATTTCCCCTAAAGTTTGTATTGTTTTGTCTTCTTTATGATTGGTAGTCATGAAGGATATTTTATTGTATAATCTTTATGAAACTGTGGACTATGTTATTCGAATTCTTCAAAAACAATATTAGTTATGCGTTCGATATTCAGATCCTTCAAAAATATTGAGAAGGTTTAGGATGTTTTTTCTAATGAAATAATTTATAGGGGCGAATTTAAGAGGATGTAATGTGTTAGTACACACTGCATTCGACTCAAATTATATATAAAATGTTTAACAAAAACTTGGTAGGCTTGAATCTAAAATCTCTACCTATTATAATATCATGTCGAATTATATCAATCGCCTAATCTAAAAACTTAAATTGTTAAAAACGCAACTAATATAATTTATTATTTATTATTTGTTTTCCATCCGTGTCTGAAGTTCACATAGAGCCCCGACTAAATTCAAATCGCACATTGCAAGGCCCAATTGGGGGCGACACTCCCAATAAGATTTTCTCCATATCAAGACTCGAACCCCAAAACCTTTGATTAAGGATGAGACAGTCCCACCACACCCCATATCGATAAATAATGTAATTTATATCTTATCTTATATGAGGTCAAAAATATATGGTCACAAATATTATATATTCAAGTAGCTCATCTTTTCAGAGTCAACTATGTGTGATATAGTGTTTTTGACTATGCTATATGCACTATGACAAAACAAATAGTTTGCAAAAGGCAATTAAGGAAGATTTATTCTGCTGACATATATTATAGGATTGTGGGAGTCAATGGTAAGAAAATTAAAGAGAAATTCCTAAAGTATCATTTACTGCAAAATGGGATTTTAAACCAATAGCGGGTTAGATTTTATTATTTACTTTTCCTAATCGATAAACATATATATTATACATGAATTATACATATATTCACCGGCTATTTTTCATTTAAGTGATTTGGATAGGTAGATGCTTAAGTGAGGTCACAAATAATAATTCCGGTATCCATATTGGAACCCAACTAATCTAAATTCAGGTAAAAACACTCTCTAACAGAATTTTGTTGTGTTCATGACTCAAACTCAAATACGAAACGTCTGATTAATAATGGAGGAATCCTATCAGTTCCGTCAAAACCCTGATTGGTCAGAAACAATATATAGCTACATGATAAGAACTGAAAAACTATGTATTACCTTTCACTGAGATTATCCCCTTTTAAACAACTTGCTTGAGGATTCCTTATTAATGCTATAGTGGAGGGTCCTTATTCACAATATTTTTAAGTAATATTCTTCGAGAAGTTGAAGCAGGAATCTATGTACATATAAGTGATTTTAGCCCCACCTTTCTCACTAAGAAACTAGTGTGTTCTTTGGTTCATGGTCCTCTTTCAAATGATTGGTAAATGGCAATCATGGAGAATATATTTTTTTATCGCAATGGTGTCAGGGCTAGCTTGCACACACCAAGGGGCGAAGTTAGGCTTTAACATATAGATTCAGCAGAATCTTGTAGTTTTGATCCAAACTATATATGTAAATACAATCACAATGCGTGTGTTACGAAAACAACTAAATACGCACAAATATAAAAGTTCAGAACTCAAAATCATGAATCCACCTCTGGCGTAACTCGATTATTCCAGTGCACACCTACTATGTATGTCATACTGCACTTGAAATTCCTTGTTATACTCAGGTGTAAGATGCTAACATTGCAAGTTTCCAACCACTAATTCTTTTGCCCTTTTGAGATTTTTAAATAAAAAGGAATCTTGTTTTGAAACCTTTCAATTGGACCTTTTTTTTTCTTCCAATTATCAACTTTGGTGACTTATCAGAAATCAAAAGAGGTACACCTTTTTAACTGACCAGTCATGTTCCATTAAAAGCTTGAGAAGTACACCAAAAGATGACTAGAATCTTCGAATAAAGGGAAAAATATTTTGTTCAAAAAAGATACTCTAATGACAAGGACGGCACAAAATTGACATTTTTTCCTAAAAATATTACTTTACAAAATAGTTCAACAAGAGAATATCGTCCACTGTGTAGAAATGAAACCTCAATATTCTATCAACAAGAACAAGATCCAACAGAATCATCATATATCCATTGGTGCAGCACCTTTATCCGTAGGGGCACCCGCTTCAGGTACTGCTGGTTCGATATCAGCAGCTGCATCTGTGGTTGCAGCAGGATCTTCTTCACCAGCTAACTCGAATTCATTGATCAATCCTTGGATAGTTTCTTTATCCAACATATGAAAAGCTTCTCCTACTCCTACCACAGCAACAGTACAATTCGTGCTCGTTAGCTTCTCTCCTTGCAATGTCTCCCTCAACGCGAAAAGTGCATCCTTAAGCAGACTTCCCCGTGAAGAATCAGTGAAATTCTCAAACCTACACTCCAAGTATGTTTTTGCAGCTTGTGACCGAGACCCAATGGCAAAAGATTGGTATTCGAAGTAGTTACCACTAGGGCAATTGTAATAGAGGTGAGCGCCGGATTCGTCCAGCCCACCAACAAGCAGGCCAACGCCATAAGGTCGTTTCCAGGACCGTTGAGTACAAACCTGGTCCCAAAAGGATGTCAATAGAATATTGAAGGAAAATAGACATCAACCTTTTGAAATCACCTTATCAAGTAGCAGCATATGTATGTCAGTTTATAATCTAGCAAAGGGAAACAGACAGATTATTGGGTACTAAAGAAAGTCTTCTAAAATATATCATAGTTCACACAAGTTACAAGAAACTATTTTACTCACCTAGATACAACTTCCTATTCTGTTTTGAAAACCTAAAGTAATATGTGAGCCCACAAGTTCTTATCATACGCTAAATAATGAACATTTAAACTCTCCTCTTAATAAACTAAAATATTAGCAAACCTCCACTTGGCAACTTAGACATAACTTGCCCCAGATAATTAAACGGAAGAGCATGACAATAAAGGACATACATATGCAAGGAGCACTGAAGGTTATGGTAAATAGTAGTGGCTTACAAAAAACACTGAAGGTTGCAGTTGAAACTCCCTTGTCCGAATTGGTTATGGTAAATAGTTGTGGCTTACAATAAACACGATTTTCTTTACCTGGTTAGTCTACCACCTAATTGGTGTAATACTTCTGGAGGGAGACTAACAAGAAAGCACTAATTTGAAAGACAGTTCAAACAGTCTGGATTTATACCATGCTTGATTATAGTAATACTTAAATAAGAATTTGAGATAATCAGTAAAATGCCAAATGAAAAATAATTCTGCTATGCTACAACCAGTAGTACACTGCCTAGTGCCTACCTCTATGACCCCTTTTCTTCCAACTAAAAATAATCTCATAGAGTACATATAGAGAAGTAAGAAGGAAAAAAATGAACATCATATCTGAAACTTACTAAGAAACCATGATTCATATGCAATTAGTTAAATGCTGTATCAGAGTTGCAGCGTTTTGCTAAAAGCACTAACATTCTGAAAAATCTTTGTTCGAATGCTCTCACCAGTAGAATCAGCGATCTCGAAAGCTCTACATCAGCAGAATCAGAGAATCACTTGAAAATATACAAAGATCTCAAGCGAAATCACCCCAGAACCTATGCCAATCAACTACAGATCTTTTCTAACATGTTATATCTAAACCTAATCACCGAAATATTGGCCAATTAAGAGGGAGAGAGAGAGCTCCCATCGCTAATTCACAGGGCATTCAGCTACTTCTCACCTATTCTATTGTCACTTCCTAAAGCTACAGTCTGTGATTTAGTAATGGATTAAAGGAAGGTACACTTCGTGGAGTTGATTATCAGTTCATAGATACTGCGACCTTCCTCTATTTGTAACAGAAAGTAGCTAGATTATCACTAAATACATCTAGAATGCAATGCATAAGTTCACAAAGGCGGAAGGAAAAAACACTGTGCATGCTTAACCAACTTACATTTGATTCTCAGCTTCCTACGCTACTTCATCCTCATGATAGCACTGAACTTTAAGTTGTCAACAGGAAATTAAGGTCCAACAGTATCTTAAGAATATGCATCCCATAAATAAGGAATGTTATCAAAAAATGAAATGTGAGCTCGTGCAATTGCTGGCACAGGGAAGGTTATGCACAAAACCACATCAACAAACTGCTTCCCACATTCAGTCCAGAAATGCTCTTATGCAGCATACATAGATAATAAATGGAACACACTATGACCCTCCCTTTTTATTTGAAAAATATTATAGCTTACTTGCCAAAAAGAAAAGGTAAACTAGAAAAAAGAATGAACGGAGGTTTGGTGGTCAAACAAAGGATTGAAGTAGTAATAAATGAAAAGAACACTATCTCTCACATTGGAGAAATGATACATGACGATGTAAGAACACAGCTAATTCATATCATAGTAATAAACACAGACATGTCAAGATCATAAACTAGTTCCTGGGTATGGTCAGAGCTGGTGGTTAAACAAAGATTTGAAGTAGTAATAAATGAAAGGAACGTTATCGCTTATATTGAACAACTGATTCGTGATAATGTAAGAACACAGCTAATTCATAGTAATAACCACGGATATGTCGAGAGCAAAATTTTGCTCCTGGAGTAATGCGTCCTTTTTTCCATTATGAACTACACGCTTTAGCTCCTCCCTCCTCCTGTCTGGTAGCACTCCTGCCTAGAGCTAACAGAACGACTGAAAGCATGAGCAGGTTTCTGACGGTTTTTGTTTTCAAATCCCAGCTAAAATGCAATTTCATTTCACTAAATACAAGGATACTGAGCAGAAACCAAATGGAACATCCAAACTAAAACCCTAACCCCTCAATTTCCACAATTCAAATACAGCATTTCACTTCATCAACAAACAATAAAAGCGCACATACACAACAACAACAGTTTAGCAGAAGCAATTGCAAAACATAAACTAGGGGTTTTGATAAGCATTTTCTCACCTGAGCTTTATCAGCGAGCTGAACAACAAGTCGACCAATAGGCAACACTGATTCATAAGAATAACCATAGTTGATACACTCCGAACGCATATACCGAGAAAGCACACGGCCGTCGGCGGTGAGTCCGGCGATGGCAACACCGATATGATCATCAACTTTGAAAATCTTCTTCTGGTGAGATGAAAGTTCGGAATTAGCTTTGTTGACGCACGCGAGAATCACGTGAGTTTTCGATCGAAGACCTATTGCTGCTGAACCTTGTTTCACTGCTTCCATTGCATACTCTACCTGAAATAGCCTTCCCGCCGGCGACCATGTCGTCACGTCGGTGTCGTACTGGTTTCTGAACATCTTCACTCGATTGAATCACACTCGTATGTGATTCGGATTTTGGTTTCTTTTTCTTCAAGTCTAATGGGAAGGAAGGGGGTTTTTGGTTCAATTTTACTTAATGATGATGTATTAAAAATATATTTTCATTTTTATTTAGTTACTTTTAATATATCAAGAGAAATATATTTTTATTACATGTTTACTCTCGACATATGCATCAATTGATATGAGTATTGTAGTAAAATAATCATATTACTTATTATTGTGACGGACGAGAGGAAAGTTAGACTAAGATAATTTGAATACATGCAGAGGAGGTGCACCAATGCCCCAATGAGGAGAGGTGAGAGTATGGTTGTAGGGGGTGTGTGGTGGGGTACATGTAGGCCGAAAAACTATTGAAAATAGGTGATTAGACAACACATTGTGTAGCTTTCATATTGCCGAGGACATGACTTTAGATGAGAAAGAGTGGGAGTTACGTATTGGGATAGAAAGTTAGTAGGGTTAGAGGATGTCTTGCTTAGCTAATGTTTGACTAACTACGCTCCATAGCTATAGTTTCATTTGTTATAGACCAATATACAAATATAGTAAGTATATATATAAATATTGTCTTTATACATTTAGAAAATTTTCAAAACTCTGTTTATACATATAGCTTGACAAAATACAAACGTGATAATTTATTATGAATTTTTCATAACTGATACAAATCAAAATGTATCAACAAATTGTATACAAAAAGTTAGAATAAGCATATACAAATTTGAATATATACAATCAGAAACCAAATTATACATTCATAGAAAAATTTAAGAAATTATAGCCGCAAATCATAAATATCTGAAACTATAACTAAATTAAATAATACACTATAAATGTTTGTCATTTCGCATAATTTTCCTTTATTAATTGCTATGCTTTCTTCCTTTATTAATCAAGTTTCATGCACTTGACCAAAGGTCTTTCGAAAACAATCTCAGTACCTATATACATTCTACCTTCCTCAAATGTCATCTAGTTTCAAATGATTAATAGCTTGTTTGATAAGATAACAAAATCTTTTCAAAGTGAATATTTTCAACACGAGTGTCAAATTAATACTAGAAAAGTTCAAATTATATGCACAACGAGGGTCTAAGTTCTTCAATGTTCCAAACAAAGTATAGTTTAGGGAGAAAAGAAGGAAATTTGCTTCTAGGTCCTAAGAAGGTTGTGCTTTAAGCCAAATGAAGGGCATTTACAAGCCAAGAACATGAAGCATAATTGCATTTTGCGCATGCATGCGATTCTCAGCTTGAGGGAACACAATGGAGTTTGGTGCTTCGATCACACCATCGGTAACTTCCACTCCTCTTTCTGCCGGCAAACAATGCATAAAATACGCTTTTTTTCCAGCTAGTTTCATCAGTTGTTCATCCACCTGTAGAGAAATAATGTCAAGCATGTTTCAGTACAGACAGAGTTCGAGTTTATTTGATAAGTTAGGGCACAGTTGGTTTAAGGTTATCATTTCTCATGCTCCTACCTGGAATCCTTGAAATACTTGGCGGCGATGTGCGGCTTCTTCCTTCTGTCCCATGCTGGCCCAGACATCTGCATAGATAACATCAGCGTCTCTAACAGCTTCTTTTGGATCATTAGTTATCTCGATTTTGCTGACTCCAGCTTGTCGTGCTTTCTCAACTGTTTCCTGATCAGGTTCAAAACCTTTGGGGCAGGCACAAACAAAGTGGAATGGAATCACCGCAGCCAGAAGCAGCCACGAATGCACTATGTTATTTCCATCTCCAACATAGACAACCTAAATTTGCAGCCACCACTAGATTATTAAAATCTATTTACCAAACATGGTTAAAATTATCTGAAAGAAATCTGAGATGTTTGAGGTGTTTTAACTTCCACATCCACCACCCTCTGTTTAATGAATCATTTTAGTTGGTGTAACTTGTAAGAAGAACAATGTTGATAATATAGAACACTTTTTGGATTTTTTATGCTCATTTTTTTCTGTTTAGAAGTGCAGGTGAACATGTACAGGAGCTTAATGCCCTTTGATTGAGATCTGCTCTATTTGCATTTTCTGGATGAACATAAATAAAATGTGATTATTTCATCAGGAAAACTAAAAAAGAGCTAACCTTAGTTCCTTCCAGCTGGCCGACATGTTCAATCATTGTAAGGGCATCAGCCATTATTTGACAAGGATGGTTATAGTCTGTCAGGCCATTGATCACAGGCACAGTTGCATATTTAGCTAGATCAAGAATGTCCTGCAAAAGAAAAGAAATACAATGGATACCAATATTTGATTTGCAGTGGGAATGGAAGAAAAGGGGGAAATATTCTTAAACTCAGTGGACAGATAATTCAGCCCACATTTCTATTTAAGCAACGCCTAAAGAAAATTAGACATGAATGGCTACACTCAATTAACTTGCTGGGAGAGGTACAGCAACATCATCGAACTGCCATCATCTGTAAGATATAGTAAATCAGAAATAAAGCTAGGACCAAATTTGAACAATCATTGATGGTTTGCATCTTTGTAAACCTAGAGAAAACGGAACAACAAAAACAAAAACAGTTTGATGTCCGTGGAGTCAAATGTCAATAGAGTTTAATCATACATAGTTTGTAGGATCACCAAATATAAATGAGCCTTCTCTTCGCACCACCCCCAACCTTCTCCTCACTGCCCCCAGGAAAAATAAACAGATTTGTTTCAACTATTATATGGAGTTGCCAAAAGCGGCTTTGTGGGATATCACTGGGTGTTGTTGCCAAGAGCAGCTTTAATCAAAGATATAAAAATTTTGGACTGGACAACTATAAGACTACAACATATAAAAATATTATGCAATGCTTCTTACAAGCCTTAATTCTTACCAAGCACCAGGAAAAAGTCACAACAGAAAACTCACCAGCATACCTGATGAGCAAAAACTCTAGCCATAATGATATCATTATAGCGAGAAAGAACACGGGCAACATCACGAGTTTCTTCCCGCTTACCCATCTGTATATCATTTGGTCCCAAATAGATTGCATGTCCTCCAAGCAAGTAAAAACCTGTCTCAAAAGAAACACGTGTCCTCATGGAAGGCTTAGCAAAAATCATCGCCATAGTTTTACCCTTGAATGGGAGATATGTCCTCTCTCCTGATTTCAGCAACTCTTTAACCTCTCTGGCTCGATCCAAGATGTTCAAAATAGTGGCTTTATCGAAATCATTAATGTGTAGAAAGTCCTTTTGATTGGCAGTTCCTGGAATAGAAAATTACAAAGACATGTTAGAAATATCCAGCCTCAACAGACTCTGATAAGAAGTTGTACTTAACAACACATACTTGAGCATGTTCATATCATATCTTAGCAATCATTGATCCAAAGACAAGGTTTAAGCCATTGCCAAACATGCTCTTTTGACAAATTATTACTATGAGTAGCTTTATGATAAATTTTCTTAGCATTCAAGTTATAAAAATGGGAGAAAATTACATGTTGTTTCTCTAATTCATATACTATTATTTACAAGCTATCATTGTAAAATCAATCAGTTTTAATATTTTTTGCAAATAATGGCAGATAACTCTTAGGAAACTGGCCAATCAGACACATTAACATAGACAATACAAATGTCCGTGTATCAAAAATATGTCTCTTCTTAACCAAATCAGTAACGAAAAATTAAGATACTCACTCCACAGCAGGAAAACAGTTAAAACTAGAATACGTCAAACAATTTTAAACAACACATGCCTGGTTTTTGGTGATTATAAATACTTGACAAAAACTATAAATACCAAAAATTGAAAACGTAAACGAAGCAGCTAAGAGTTAGTTGGGTATAAACTAAAATGTTTTCCATGGAAAATAATTTTCATAGAAAATGTTCTATTGTCGGCCAAAAAACCATTTTTTGGATCATTTTCTAGTGTTTGATTGGCCATAAAAGACAAAAAGCAGGCAGGTAATTTACCCGGTAGAGATAGCATATGAGGGTAGTGTTTTGGTCATCTTTCTGAGTATTACAAATTAACAAAAACGTCTAACTGTTGGTTGAATCAAATGACATAACTTGTTGAGTTTGGATGCCTGTGAAGAAAAATGACTTGGGAACACAAGTACTAGAATTATTTTTTTCTCTTTTGTTGAAAAGTAAACATTTCTAAAAACTCGATGTAATCAGACTCTGAAAATCATTTCATCAACAAAGATATCATCCAGGAATTGATTTACCATCTGCCAAAAACACACTCAATCACAAATGAAGCAGAAAGCAAACAAGCTCAATCATCCAATGTGAATGATAAAAAATAGACTTCCTAGACCAGGATATGAGCATAAGCAACAATATAGCTCTTTTAGACAAAGTTCCAAGAGAAGAGAATCTGAATTTCGGATAAATAAATTATACAAGGAAGTTACAAATTCTGTGCCTTTTTTTATCAAGTTCTTTTTCTTTGTCACAGTCTATTCTGGCATTCTCACTCACTGTCACTCAAAGCATTTTTCTTGAGATGGATAACTCATCAAGTACTTGGCTTCAACAAGGATTATACAAACTAGACTCTGAGCCTGGTTGGATGAGCTTATAACTTATAGCCAAAAGCTAAAAGTTTAGTATTTCTAGCTTACGTCTTTTGACTTATTTTTGTTACTTTGGCTTAAAAACAATTGCATAAAAGCATTTTTTTTCATTCTACACAAACACCACAAAACTACTTACAAAAAGCTATTTTGGCTTAAAGAGCACCTAAAACAAGCATACAAAAGTCTGCCTAAAATTGAAACGGGATTTTCTGCTTATGACAACACATTCCAAGCATAATCAAACCTCGCATTACAAAATCAATCAAATCGACAGCTCCAAAGGAAAAAACAAAGCTCAAATTAAACACACGGAAACAAAAAGGAACAGAAAAAATCGAGAAAATGGACCGGACCTTTTGCAATAACCGAGGAAGAAGGAGCTGCTGCTGAAGAGGTGGTTTGGCATGAGATGCGTTGACGTATCGCCGGAAATGTGACCGGAGAAGATACAATTACACCGGAAAAGTGAGACGATTGCTTGCCGGAGTGGGAGAGAGTGGAAACGGAGGAGAAGGAGAGGTTTTCCGGTGATCGGAGAGAAGATAACTGAGAGAAAATGGCGGCCATTGTTTTGGTGTTTGGATGGTGAGTGTTGAAGAGTAATTTGGCAAGTATGGCAGAGTGTTAGTGTTAATTTCTAATATGAATAAACCCTACTCAAGCATAACTTCAAAAATCAATTATTATTATTATTTATCTCTTTTAAATTGTTAATGTTCAAAAACTAAAATAAATAAATAAGATAGACAAATTAAAACAGAAAAAGCACAAAAATTTGTATAAAAGGTATAGATCAAATAAGAAGGGAATACACAAAAATAATTCCCAAAATAAGATATGATGACTTGGTAAAAGAGTGACACTGACCATAAAAGGTATTGCCACTTATCAACTTTATTATATATTGCCACTAGACAGGATAAGGATATATTCCTAGATAAAGAATATATGGAGAATGAAGATTATAATAGAAGATTAATAGGGTAATAGTGTGTTATATATTTTATTATTATTTATTCTTTAATTCTATTAATGCCTTTTTATTTCATTCCTTTGGTAATTATAGTAATTAGTATCTATTTATTTGATTTCTTTCATAATTGTATTTTCTTTCGATTAAAATTGAAATAGTTTCTTTATTATCACAAAATAGAAATAAAACATCGCACACTTTAAAATTTACCTACACTCAATATTTATACACTAAATAATTGATATACATTCTCACTTTAATTTATTCACGCCCAATATTCACACTAGACTATAACGAATAATTATTACATAACACATTTCTTCACATATATAGTTAGCGCACATTTTCACCTTAATTAGAGAAAAATAAAATATTAATCGCATCTAATATTAACACCAAACTAATGTATACGTAACACATTTCTTCCCATAATCACTAAACCATGAACAAATAGTTTATAACTTAACCATGATAATTAATATTTTTCGAATATGACACTTTTTAATAGGCCAATTGACACTTATATTCACTAGTTCTTTACATTGCCAAGAACAACTAGTTTTACCAGTTTAAGCTTTTTTCTTCTTAACATTAGCATTAGAGTCTATACAAATATACAATATATACATATTTTGAGGAAGAGCTATATATAATTGATCTTCAATGCTGATCGTATCGATAAATGGTTTCTATATACATATCGAGTTCTTGCTTCAACAAACTGCAACAATCCTGTAATTAGAAATGAAGCAATTTTCTTATAGGAATCAATTTTTTGAATCCCAAACTTGTTTAAATCGAAAGGGATCGATGTATATAGGAAGAAAAAGACACTATTGGATTTGCGGAAAAAAAAAGTGTCACTGAGAAAGAAGATTGGAATAACACACCTTGCTATGCCCAATTCTTGTTGGATCGAAGTTGAGTAAGCTTGTCCCTCCAAAGAGCTACAATAACCAGGAAAACATCGGCATAATATATAAATATGTCATTTAACTTGACTTCAACTGACATCTATGACCTCGAACTTTGATGTGTACAAGTAGGCCGTTAAACTTGTACCCCATCAGATATTTAACAGAAAGCAAACTCGATCTCTAAATCCAATCTGGTTGGCGACAACATGTTGTCATGCCACTATCTCTCAGATCAACTGTAAATCCCTCCCTGCAAGTGTCCACACATGTACAACTTGCCATCTTTACAGTAAAAACGACTCTCCGTACCAAATTATCTATCGCATTTCGCTTCTCGAAATTCAAACTATGTAAAGTTTGACCACATGTTAAAAGGTATGTTTTCATCATATTGACATGAGATGAATTGCAAACTATAGTAGTTTTTGTTTAACTTTTGAGTATCTCAATTTGTCAAATTGACTCTCGAAAGAATAAAAGGTACACTTATTTTAGGACGGAGGAAGTAAACAAAAAGATTTTAACACCATGAAAAGGTAGACCTCAAGACAGTCATATATGTTAATGTTTGACATGATAATAATATGTAGATATGTTATTAATAAAGTCTACCTGCATCTCTGTATCGTTCTTCGACTGCAGCAACCAGCATGTTTCGTACAAGAATAAACTCCTTTTCATCTGTGGATGGCTGCCCAGCGGGTCTGAATCAAAAATGCTAGTCAGAACTATATTTTGTTCAACTTTATACAAGTTTATGCGTGACACACAAATGCAAATGAGAAAGAAATTCTTTTTCATACACACATAATGAACATAATACAATTTCCCCCCACTTTCCAAATGCAACTCATTTTGAATAGGATGTCTGCAAAACATTAACTTACTTGTCAGGCCCAGTGAACAATAGGCCATCAGAAGAGGCAGCACGCGGTGCAAGATCTGCAGACTCAACAATCCTCACGCCATCACTGTACGCCAAGTTTTTATTGACTTGTATCGGCACCTAGGAAAATTAGAAACAACACAAGTAATTAAAATTGTAAATAAAATTTCAGTTTGTGGTTTAAAGGGGATTGTTAACTACTTCACCTTGCATTTCACAGCGATGTTGATTGCATCAGAAGGACGAAGATCGAAGCTAATACTCTCAGCATCGTTATCTAACTGTTAGTACAACCACATGAAAGTTGTTAAAGCTGCATACCACAAAAAATGTACACATAATCGGGTCAGCATTCAGCAACTAGTACATTTTACACTACCTTGGTTAGATGTAACTGAGCAAGATATGTCTCGTGCTCTCTCTTGGTAACTCGAACAAGTTTAACCTTCAAATTACAACTGTCAGATTAAGCTTGAAAAAATGTGGCATTTACTGGTAAATGCACAAAGAACAAGCTTACTGTGTAGCCCATCTTTTCGACCATTTCCTTCAAAACTTGATACATTGTTGGTCTGGCCTGAAACGGAGCAAATATTTGTACCTTTTAGTAACAGCATAAAAGCTATGCTTACTGTAACTTTCGCTGAATGGCTTTATCAGAATCAATATAAAACAGAAGACGTACAAGTTGGACATTGCGTACAGCAGCCATGAGCAGCACACTTGACATCTCCACTGTTGCATAAAATAGAGACGCAACATTAGACTCCCAAGCGACTGTACGTTCACTAAGACAATAAATGAATCATGTACATACAAACAATTATAGGAAGAAGCAGCCCAGTCCCGTCCTCCATCTTTAGCACAACCGCTGGGTTTGGAGCATAATTATGTACATGAACCCCCTGCGGATTGTTATGGATGCATTTCACATGACTTCCATCTCTCATCTTAATCATGAAACCATCTTTCCCGCTATGCACTTCAACTACACAGGATAATAGGGAAGTCACCATAAAAATTGCATCGCAATTTCACTTTGACATGTGTTGATAGTTATTGATTAATTGTGTCTTAAGTTAAGTGAAACAGTGGTATCACGGAAATCTCGCACCCAAAAGTACGGAATACAGGGTATTACATGAAGAAAAGATTGGAAAATTCTAGACAATATTACTTCATCGTATTGTGGAAAATTCATTTCCAAAAGTAGAAGGTCCCATCTATGGTTCTTCACAACCTTAATGCAACAACAACAACATATCCAGTGCAATCCCACAAGGTGGTGTCTGGGGAAGGTAGAGTGTATGCAGACCTTACCATTACCTCTCCGAGGTAGAGAGGTTGTTTCCGAAAGACACTAGGCTCAAGCAAATCAAAGCAGTAATTAAAAGAAAAATGTTAAGTGAAGATATAGTTTTATTCACTTTTACGAAAACAAACAACACAAATCAATACAACAAACAAAATGTCAAACACAAAGCACTGAACAATAAAATCAACATACCAGCTTCAACCACGCTAGAATTCACATAATCAGCATCACTTTCGTTAAAATTCTCGGCTGTACTACCACTATCATTTGATGATGAACTGAAACTACATCCGATCAACTTGCTTAAACGTGATCGTGGTACATGAGCCACATTATCCTGCTGTCTAGGTATTCCATTAAACCCCAAGAACTCACTCCTCAGCATCTTAGCCTTCACTATAGGTGAACTGAGTGTACCTGCTTTCTTTCCACTAACCAGAGGGAAAACAACAGGCCCTTGTAGAGAGCTCATTTTTGCCTAATTTGAAATTTATTACACAACGATTAGATTATCATCCAGTACATTGTTTTATAAAACAATAATTGATCTTATACTTCTGATGAAACACTTCATAGTAGTTGCCTTCTTACAGTTAGTACTAAGACACACAGATCATACAAGAATATAAATTCATCAGCAATGGTTAAGTGATACTCCTTAACATAATTAAAATGTCAATGTTGTGTTTATTTTTCATGCACCAAGAGAGAATGAACAAATTTTCATTTATAGCACTAATATGTAATTGTTGAATACTCTTTTAATTCACGATCTACTTTGATATGCGTTACTTGAGCCAGGGATATTTCAGAAACAACCACTCCACCTCCGAAAAGGTTAAAGTCTGCATACACTCTATCCTTCCCAAACCCCACCCATAGGATTTCACTGAGTATATTGCTTTGTTGTTACTCTTTTAGTTGGTGAGAATTTCTGAATACTTCTTTCAATCGTCAAAGAATGAATTAATCAAGTCCGATGACCAGCTTGCAACCACATCCACTAATCCAGAGGTACCTCCTACCTCTATCCAACATAGGTAGTAGGTAACTTTGTTCCCCGAGACTTGGACGGATAGGAAAAACTATAATCTACTCCTTCCATCCCAATTTAGGTGGTAGTGTTCAAATTTCTAGAGTCAAAAAAGTTTTCTTTTGACAACTATATCTTCATATGCTCTTTTAAATATTTTGAATTATCAATTATTGTGATAGACAATATCTTTGAAGTAATTTCCAAATATGTAAAATTTATTTCAAACCCTTTAACTTGGTCTCAACTAGCATTTATGCTCTTAAGTGTGCACAAATAGACTTTAACTTGTATAAAGTTGAACAAGTAGCTACACACGTCTTACATGACATAATACATGTAGGACGCACGTAGGACGCGAATTACCACGTAAAACGCCACGTAGGATGCGTGTGTCTACCAGTGAACTATGAACCTAGACCTCATAAAACTTTTTGTACTTCGTTCTATTCGAATTTCGAGTAAATTCAAATTCAAAATTACAACATCAACTAATCTTCAGCAATGAATAAATGCATCGGATACAATATTTACGCACCTGAATTATAGAGTTCTCCACAAAATCTCTTAATCGATCTTCTGCAGAACTGCAAAAATCAACACCTACCGATCACCAATTCATAGCTTCAACCACAAAAATTACAGTATGATGAAAAAAAAAATGAAGTTTTGTTCACAAAATTTGATTGAAGTGATAGAAGTATGATGGAAAAAAAAGATATTTAACTCAATTGGCAAGAGAGTCACAACTTATAGGCAATACTCTGTTATCAAATTGACATCTATGCCCTTCGCGCCAAGCAATAATTACTTTTTCTTCAAGATTCTTTTTTTTTAAAGCTCCTAAATCGAAATTTTTAATTAAAAATAGATAAATCATTCATTGTAACAAAATTATTATTATTATTATTATTATGGTACTTACGGTTTCTTTCGTCACATTTAAGAATAAAAAATATATCTAAAGTAGCTGGAGTTTTTGAGTTTCATATATGATTAATTGTGTGCGAATTTTCTATCTAAATTATATCATTAAAATGTTTATCGAACACATTTTAACTATCAATTATTCACATTTTTTATTGAAAATATCATCATCATTTAGATAGGAAAAATGAATTATCGATAGTTGAGGTGTGTTCGCTTTTTACTAACAAACCGATATTCAAAATCATTTCATTCAGATTTTTTAATCTGTCAAAACGTTGCATTTCTAAACTTTCGTAAGGTTCTCTTTGAATGCTGATCCTTTCTAAGCTTGTTGAATAATCTTTAAGGATTTTGTTATTTCACTTATTCGTACTAACGATAAACATTTAATGCCAATAAACTTTCTTTTGATGCTCTTACGAATAATATTGTGCATGTGATCAATTCATCTCAAGTTAACTCTACAAAGGAATTAGTTATTTCTAAGGAACAACATGGTGCGCCAAGTACTCCGAGGTGGGCTATATATCAGATGAAGAGGAAGAACAAGTCCTTTCCCCTCCTGTGCAAAAGAAATTGAGCCCAACAGCTCCAGCTTTTGTGCCTAGTAGTGCAAGTTAGTAACTCTCCGACAAGGTTTGTCATCATCAACAAATGTTGCGGCAATCTTAAGTGATCATTTGGTGAATTCTAATATTGAAAAATTGGCTTCTCTTACACCTATTAACCCTAACAAACAACTACAAGTTGATGGTAGTTGTACTTTAATTTGTCCCCAAATAAATTTGCTAACCTAGATGATGAGGACATCTCTGAAGAAGGTGCAGAAGATGAAGAGGAAATGCTGGATTATTGTTTTGCAAATGCAGCTAGGAATGCTGATATTTCTCCTAGGAAACAATGCAACAACAAAACGAAGCATGGAAGAAAGAATAGTTGGGATGGTAAAGTGACTAAGGAGTTTGTTCCAAGGCACCTATCGATGCGACTGGTGAAACAGAATCATATGATAGTGTCAACAACTTCAACAAGATCCAATAAAGCCAAGAAGTGATGAACTATCAAGTGTTATTGGACAGATTTGAAGAAGAAGACAAGAGAAACATACTTCAAGTTCCTTTGGAAAACCATCTATCTTTTTTAGTTCATACATTTGTATAAGGAAGTTTGAGGTTGATAACTCAACTTTCTCCTTGGCTTTTATGATTTTTTATTACTTAAGAATCCTCACTTGTAATATCATCATAGAGTGTATTATAAACTTTGTGATGATCATAGAATATCTAGTTCTCTGTAGCTCGTATTTTCTTCATGGTTGTTAATTAGTAGATGATAATAGAATATCTAGTTCTCTGTAGCTCGTATTTTCTTCATGGTTGTTAATTAGTAGATGATAGGTATCTCATTAGGATTGGTAAGGTAAACCCTAGCCTCCCTTGCTTGTACTTATTCCTATTAAGATTTTTTTATGTTTATTATTAATAATAGGGAAAAAGGACAAATATACCCCCGAACTTTGATAAATGGTACGTCTATACCCTCTGTTATACTTTTCGTCCGTCTCAATCCTTGCCGTCCAATAATCGGTGCACATTTGCCCCTCCCACTAACGGCACCCTCTTTGTGTACACGTGGCAAAATCCTAAGCCACTACCGGGTTGACCAACTTTTATAACCCAAATTCTAAGAACCCGCCCCATAACCCAGTAAACCCACCCAATTTGTGGGTAAAATATACCTTCTAAAATTTAAAATTTGGGTCTTTTCTTTAGATTTTAAACTCAATAATTAGTAAAATTTACACTCAATAATTAGGAAAATTAAACTCAATAATTAGTAAAATTTGCTGAAAAAGACTCCAATTCATTAACATCTTCACTAACAAAAGCAACAAAAACAGGCATCAACTTTCGCATCTGGGCACCACAAGCAGCAGCAGCAGACATCCAACTTTAGCTTATGAATCCTCTAACCCTTTGACTGCATTTAAGGACGAGGCTGGACAAAATGATACACTGATGTGTGTTTCTAAGAAATCGCCGGCATTTGAGGCAACAATTGCACCGATGAACTGTCTAAAATCTGATGAACTAGGTTAGGGTTTGTGAGATGAACGAAAATGATTTAGGATTTGAGTCTTTTCTTTAGATTTTAGAGAGTATATTTTACCCACAAATCGGGTGATTTATTGGGTTATGGGGTGGGTTCTTCAGATTTGGATTAAAAGAATTGGTCAATCGGGTAGTGGCTTAGGTTTTCGCCACGTGTACACAAAGAGGGTGCCGTTAGTGGGAGGGCAAAATGTGCACCGATTATTGGACGGCAAGGGTTGAGACGGACGAAAAGTATAACAGAGGGTATAGACGTACCATTTATCAAAGTTCGGGGGTATATTTGTCCTTTTTCCCTTAATAATAAGCCACTAGACCACTGTATAGTGGTATAAATTTGCTTTAAAAAAAATGATAAACATTTAATGATAGTTCAAATATGAAACTAACAATTATATGTGATTTTAAAAATTTAACTCATTTTGATTTGACTAAAAATAACCATTTTAACAAGTAAATAAAACAATTACTCACCAATTACATCAAACATATCCATTGAGATGGACATTGACACAAAAATCAATTAAAGAGCTGCCGTCCATAGATTAATACCCTTGAAATCTTAGGAAAAAAAACAAACAACCAATTGGATTACACTTTTACCCTCTTCGGGTGATCCGTATCGATATTACAATTCGACTAATTCAACTTCATATAGTATAACCAACTTTAATAAAAAAAATCGTTTTTATCAAATATGATTTCGTTCTTTTTTTCTTTTCCTTTTACCCTTCTTTAGAAATTTTCAGCCCTTTTTTGGCCTATTATCAATTCGTCACCCCTCCTCCGTTAAAGATAAAAGAGTACTTACTATAAATTTTATCAGACTATTCAGATGTTGATGTTTTAATTCATATTCAGTATGCAACTTTTAGACTCAAAGTATGGTCCTTCCACTAAAATTAGACGACTAAAAACATAACAAGTGGAAGTGTGACAAAATGGAAATAATTTTATCTTAATTGTATATGTCCAAATATCAATTATTGGTGACTCTCTCTATCCATGCCATAAAGAACAAAGCATTTTTTTGGTACTTTTCTAGCTTTAGACAATGAGTTATATGAGAAGATACAAGAAGAAGAACTTATGATGGCGATCAGATGAGCGGATTGGATTGAATTTAATAATGTTAAAATTGTTTGAGTTAAACCATTGATCACTTAAATATTATATAAACTGAAACGGATTGGTTATGCTCAAATAAGTTGAAAATTGGATCATAATCCCAACATACTGAATTCTTACTAAGTTTTAAATTTACAAGCTTTTTTATAAAAAAATAAAATAAGAATTGTTTGAGTTCCTAATAAAACATTTTTCCTTATATTATGAGTATATACAATATATCAAATGAAAAAATAAAAATAAAAATACTTATACAAAGTTTTTATGGGTTAATTTGACTACATACTGAACTAAATAGGTCAAAATGAACACAATTAATAAAATGAGCGGGTTATTAATTCACCTAAACAAGTTGGATGGGTTATGATTTTATGAGTTGATTTTGTTAGTACTCCTAATAACATTGAACATGCACTTATTTTTAACCATTTATTATTCGGAAACATTATTTTAAGTAGTAACTTATTTATGTAATATTTGAGATTACACACAAAAAAAAAATTCAAAATTTAAATTAAAAATATCTAATAGAATTTTTTTTATCATATACTCAAAAAATCACTTGAAACAAACCTTAATTTAAGTATCTAAATAAAATCTGCCTATAAGTTTGGTCGTCCATTATTATGTTGAAAGCATCTATCTTAATTATATCCGCATACAATGTCGATGAGTTTTTTTCACAATCAATAACATTTAATTGCCTTAAAGTGACATGATATTGTTACATCTTTTTACACTAGCAATCGTTTCTGGAAAGTTCAATTCAAATCTAGTGAATTTTTTTGGTCTAATACAGGACTTGAACTAAAGTTACTAAATTCGATTAAACTTATCAGACATAAGTTGTATCAAGTGAAAATTACTTTTCCTAGATTCTGAATATAAATTTTGTATATATTTATTGAATTTCTTAGTACAAATAATGACATTAGGTGTTAGAAATTATGCATTTAAATTTTGTACATATTTAGTAGATTTCTTAGTACAAATACAGGATTTGGATTAAGATATGAATTCAGGCATTCAGCTGAATTCATACTTAATCTTATACCTCTATACACTAAGAAAAATTGGAATTAGCTATGAATTTCATCTATAATTCGTCACTAAATTGCTCGAAACTAAAAAAAAAAGTTGATGATCCCACTATAACAAATTATACACTATTTAACTATAAAATTTATCTGTCGCGAATTTGTGCTTTTACGTGGGAAATTGGCATTGCAACATCATGCTAACTTTGTGAAATAATGAACTCCAACTACTTTGTGAACTTCCCCAACTACCTTTACTTTTGCAACTTGAAAAAAACATTAATGCATCTTTAATATTGTTAGCTCCTCAACCTCTTTGAATAATAATTGGTATTTTTCTACAAAAAAAGTAATATTCTTTTCTTTTTTTGAAGTAGAAAAAATAAACAAAGTTCTTTCTAAATGGAAGAAGATTCAATGATAATTATTGTTTTATTTGGAATTATTTTATGGTCTACACTTT